TGCCCTCCACTTCCAGTGGGGGGGGTCGAGGAGCATGGGAAAAAAGAAGGAAACCCGTACCCGCCCCAACCCGAAGCTCGGGCCGAATTCGGGTCTTCGGGTTGGCTTGGGGTGGTCTGGCAGGTTGTCAGGAGAGGTTCCGGCCAGTCTCTAGCCACACGCTCTGCGATGTGATCATTGGAAAAGGAATAACGCCATAAACGCTCCGCTTGGATTTTGGGATCCGCGCTGGGCCCATCCGGCGGCGCCTCCAGCGCCGCCCCTGGCGCGCTCCGCGCGCCACGGAGGGGGGGTCCAGCGCAGATCAAAGAGTCCGCGCGAAGCGCCAACAGTTCATGTTTATGCCGTTCAGTCTTCTTCTAGACTTGGCATCGCTCGGACGTGTTAATTGTTCCTTCGGCGAGGACCATCGAGGAGCATCCTTGATCATTTGGCGAAAAAGCCACGCACGAAACCGAAAAAAACATTGGGAATCGACGTCCGAGCGATGACCAGTAGATCGCCCCTCCATGTGCTGCTGCGCAGCAGGAGCGGAGGCTGGGACCAGACCCTCCGGGGTCGGCGGCGGGCTCAGAAGGTTCTGAAGTCCCCCGGCCTTCGGAGAAGTTTTCGAAGCCTTCCCCGGACAGACACAGAAGACTTATCAGAAGTCTTGTGGATGCAAAGTCAGAGCTGTGAGTCATCAGCCTCGCCCTTTTCTTGGTATGATCAACCGAAGAACGTCCTTTCTCTCCGCTTCTGCTACTCAGTGCGCCGCTCGCTTTCCCCTCCAGCTCTTATCCTTCGCCCCCCTCTTCTATCCTGAGCCACTCCCTGCCCCCATTTTCCGTCATTCGGTTGGCCCGAGAGGTGGCCCTCGAGACTTTGGTATCAGACCTCCCTTCCTCTCGTCTTCGTCGTCCCTCCCCTGCGTGACTGTCCAGACCGTTGCGGCACATGCACGAAAAACACACACAACACACACACAACAGAAACACAACAAAAACAAAACACACAAACACACACACACACACACATATATATATATATATATATATATATATATATATATAACATACTGGGCGGAACATAAAACAAAAACACAACACAAACACATCAACACACACACACACGCACACAAACATGATTGAAGAATGGCTCCGACTTTGCACCCAGGGCTTCTGAGAAGTCCCGCCGCCTTCTGAGAGGGCCTTCTCCTTCTCGTTTCCCCCCCTCGCTCGCCGCCAACGCAAGGGAGGGGCAGTTCGGCCAGAGGGCGTCAGCAATTGGGCTCGACCTGACCAAAGGGCGTCAATCGGCGTCTCGCCGAGGGGGGAAGGCAGAGGGCGTGGGCCTTCTCATCGGCGTCATCCCAGCATGCTTACACTATGGGTGCGTCGCTCCCCCAGGGGCGACGCGCGCACCGAGAAATCTTATAGCACATGCATCGTGGCGGGCGCTTTCTGGCCACACCCCTCGGGAAGCGATAGGCTGCAAGATGGGTCTACTAGATGCTGGGAGCGGACTGCTATGTCTCTGTGCGCCCCACTCTCGGAAGACCCAGGAGGCCTCCGACCTCCCGAGGAGGTGCCCAGGCCCTCTCCGAAGCCGCCACGGGCCCGTCAGAGGGCCGAGGGCCTTCTGAGCCAATTAAGACCCGCCGCCTTCTGAGAAGGTCTGCCCCCTCTCTCCTCCTCCTCCTCCTCCTCCTCATCCTCCTCCTCCTCCTCCTCCTCCTCCTCCTCTCCTCCTCCTCCTCCTCCTCCTCCCTCCTCTCCTCCTCCTCCTCCTCCTCCTCCTCTCCTCTCCTCCTCCCTCCCCCTCCTCCCTCCTCCCCTCCTCCCTCCTCCCTCCTCCCTCCTCCCTCCTCCCTCCTCCTCCTCCCTCCTCCCTCCTCCCTCCTCCTCCTCCTCCTCCTCCTCCTCCTCCTCTTCCTCCTTCTCCTCCTCCTCCTCCTCCTCCTCCTCCTCCTCCTCCTCCCTCCTCCTCCTCCTCCTCCTCCTCCTCCTACTCCTCCTCCTCCTCCCCTCCTCCTCCTCCTCCTCTCCTCCTCCTCCTCTCTCCTCCTCTCTCCTCCTCCTCCTCCTCCTCCTCCTCCTCCTCCTCCTCCTCCTCCTCCTCCTCCTCTTCCTCCTCCTCCTCCTCCTCCTCCTCCTCCTCCTCCTCCTCCTCCTCCTCCTCCTCCTCCTCCTCCTCCTCCTCCGCTCTCCTCCGCTCTCCTCCTCTCTCCTCTCTCTCCTCCTCTCCTCCTCCTCCTCCTCCTCCTCCTCCTCCTCCTCCTCCTCCTCCTCCTCCTCCTCCTCCTCCTCCTCCTCCTCCTCCCACCACTTCCCCCTATAACGCGCCGCCGCGCCAAAGAATAGCGCCGAAGGGTAGCCCGTACAGTCGGGGGGCTGGAGAAGGAGCGCTTTTCGTTGGGCACGGGGCTCCGTGTTCCCGAATTGTTCCACCGTTTGCCCCACGTGTTCCTGAGGCTTTCGGAGGGAAGTCGAAGTTCAACTTCTGGAGAAAAGGGGCCTCGTTCCTTATTTAGGTTTCCTCAGGTCAGCGCCCCGACTGTACGCCAAAGGGGCTGGTCAAGACGGGGGGGCGGCAGGATGACCGATAACGGCTGAAGGATTCCGGAGGGGTGAACATTATCAGACCCAGCACGACGTTTCGAGCTGCACCCGCGGTATTCCGAGCGCTGCGGACGTGCGCGACGCGAGTTGACGACCACGGTCCAGAGGGACGCGCTACGTGCAAATGTTAGTGTTGGCCTTGTGTGTGATGAGCGCGTATGGACACAACACGTTGTCAGCGCTCACGCGCCTTTAGGCGTACGACTTGAGTGAGTGTGTGAGAGACGGTCGGCCAGCCTGTACGTCGATGAGTTTTCTCGGAAGGAGTGTCCCCCGTTGCCATTTTGTCGGCAGAGGACTTGGAGCCTCCACGAGCGCAAGGGCTTCCTTCTCAACGAGCAGGGTGGTACAGGCGCAATCGACGTTCCGCGCTCCTCATCTAGTAACTCCACCGCGCAGCCTGGTCCTCCTCGCCATTTTCATGGTAGTTGTCTTCCTCGTCGTCCTCGCCGTCCTCCTCTTCCTCCTCCTCCTCTTCCTTCTCCTGCTCACCATCACCATCCTCCTCCTCCCCCTCCTCATCGTAACCATCCTCCTCCTCCTTCTCCTCCTCCCCCTCCTCCATACAACTCCACCTCCTACGTCGCTTCCTTCTCGTCCTCCTGTCTACTATTGCAGTGAGGCCGTTGCCTAACATGAGGCTCCGTCCACTGTCAAGCAGCCTTCGGCCCATCACGCCGCCGTCCGTGCGCCTTTGACCAGAGGCTGCGACCTCTTGGAGCCTCTTCTTGGAAGGCCCCACGGAGCCTCTTGGAGGCCTCTCCTGGGCCTCGTCGGGGGCCTCTCGGGGGCTGCCTGTGGGGGCCCTTGGGGGCCGGAGACCTCCTGCGGAACCCTGGAGGCATTATGCAACAAACATGCGACCGCTTCGACGTTGCAGATTCAGCACAGTCGTGCACGAAGGATGTGCTCACCCACGCGGAACATGCCAAACTTCTGAAAGTCGCATGATTCCGTACGCTGGCGGCGGCTGCAACATAACAGTCGTTTCGAAGTGGCAACGGGCGTTGATGTGGAGCACGGGGAACATGTCAAAATACGGTGATTCCGTGCGTTGAGGGCGGTCAGCGTATCGTAGAGTGCCGATCACCACCGTTCGAAGTCGCGAAAGTCCTTATCTTGGGGCCTTCGTTCGGGGGCCTGACCTTGGAGGCCCTTGGGCAATTTTAGGCGCGCTCAGGACCGAGCAGGCGAGCAGGCGAACACCAGTCATGCCGAACGTGTGTCAAGCTGCTGGTTTCTTGGGCCAGCCTTAGGTCGGGCATGTCCCCCCTACAGGCGGATTTTGGGCGACCAGTTAAACAATGGTGTAACAAAACATGCTCACACATGGTAAAGAATCGTCCCCAAACATGTTTGTTAGTATTTTTGATTTCTCCTCCTGTAGAGAGGCAGGCCCGACTTAAGGCCAGCCCCCGAGATCCCCAAGTCGGCCCAAGATGCTTTCAGGAGAGCACCGGGGCGGCCCCATGGGAGCATCGGAGGGAAGCTCGGTGTCCGAAGCACGCTCCCGAGGCCTCGTGACAAGTATCCCGGATGGGGGCCTGCTGCGGAACATGGGACGTATTAAAACCAGTGAACTCGAAGGACGTGGGGGCATCCCGTTTTTTGCCTCGGAGATCGGTGGCGGAGCTGAGTTTCCTCATGGCAAGACCTTCTGTGTACAGTGGAGACCCATGCCAAGAAACACCCCGCTTGCCTCCAGGGGGCGCTGGGTTTCCTGGGCTTCGATGGCATTGGTGTGGAAAGCGTGGCGTGCCCACACCAAAAACCAATGGACTTCCTGGGGTCTCAGGGTTGGGTTTCTTGCAGAAGGTTTCTGGAGGACTGGCACCCACTGTACGTGCCCCTCCTTTTCATCGGCTCATCTTCCCTGCCTCGTTTACCTCCTGCTGTCTCTCCTCGTCCCTCCCCTGTGCTGCACCCTGCCCCCGCTTGGCGTCAGGCCGCCTACAGTGCTGACCTCCTGCCCAAACGCTGCAGCCATCGGTCTCTGGCCAAGAACAGGAACAGCATGAGGAGAAGGAGGAGGAAGAAGAGAAGGAGGAATTGACGGGGGTGCGGGAAAGGAGGGGCGGAAGGGGTAGGGGGAGCGGAGGATTGGCCATGCTGAGCATGCGTCCTGCTACTCGTCCTCTCGAAGCGTCTTGCTTGGAACCAGAGCTCACTCCAAGAAGGCGCGATACTTTTGCTGCCCCTCGCCCTCCTCTCCGTGCCAGTTCAGCTAGGGCCATGGAGCCGAAGCGGCGCGAGCAATTTCCATCAAAGTGACCACTGCGTGGCCACACCAAGGTCATAACGGTACTCCGCACGAGCGGGACGCGAGGCGGCTCAGCCCGACGGCCTGGTTCGATCGGTCGATCATCCTCGCTGCTGTCTTCCGCAACCCCGTTGGCTCAGGAGCCGCAGCAGCCAGTGGTCGGAGGGCGCCATCTGTGCACCTGCACCGCTTCAGGCCGGGGCCCGCTCCCTGAGCGCCGCATCGGTGTAGACGCCTCCCTGGCCGAGCCAGGAGGGCGTATGTACACCGATCCCACGCCCAGGATGGGTCCTTGGCGCCGCGCACTTTCGCCAGGTATGCTCGCAAGAGCTTCACGGATGGAGGGCGGGTCGTTTCCAAAATGTGGTTCTCGTTGTATTGCCGCGCACGTTCGTGTTAAAAGTGTGCAGCAGCTTCATGGATGAAGGGCGAGCGGTTTTGAAAATATGGTTCTCGTCCAAGCGTTGCGCACATGTGCGTCAAAAGTTGCAAGCAGTTCCAATAATCCTTATGGTTGACGTCCCCCGAATGATATTCTGGCACGGTTTAGGAGCGCCAGTGCGCAACAGTCACGTTGATTCGCGGCGTTGAAGTCCCAGGAGGTTTTGCTCTGGCACGATTCAGGATCGTCTGGATGCAATAGTAACGTTGCATCGCGGCGATGAAGCCCCAGGATTTGTGCTTTGGCACGACTGAGGATTCTCTGGCAGCTGTTTTCCAACGGCGCACCTCCCGAAGTGAACATTAATTCTCGTAGGCACCTCGGACCTGCGAAGAGGGAGCGTGGAATGAGGGCTTATTGCAACATCGTCGGCGCATCTTGGGCTTGCAGTGTTCCTCTTCCTCCCTGTATAGCTGGCGCCCTCCTGGTTGGGGATGGCCCCCGGTCTGCGGCGCGCCAGAAGCCTCCGGTCGCTCCCTGCGTGGGCGCTGGGCGCGCTGCTCGGGCAGGCGGCACGAGCCGATGACGTCCTGCAGCTGTTTGGGCACACGGCCGCGCTGGCGGCCACGTCGAGGGGGAAGCCACTGTCCAGGCAGCCCTCACCCCCTCGACCTCCGAGGGGGAAAAGATATCGATGCCACTGCGCTTGGTGCCTCTCCACCGTGTCGGGCCTTCTGCCGGTGCCGCTGCCCTTGGTTAGTTTCCGCCTGTGTGGGCCTCCTGGGAGGCCCTCGTCGCAAGCGGTGGATTCGCTTCGAAATTCTGGTCAAGACGTCCCTCGGGAGAGGCCCAGGAAGTAACGGTATCGGCATTTGCTCAGTTTACCCACAAATTTCTTTTCGTTTCCGCCGCCTACTCTTCCGTCCTCCGCCTCCGCATCCCTCCCTCTTCCTCCCCCTCCTCCCTCGCCTCCCTCCTCTTCCTTCCCTCCGCAGCCACTTGAGTTCAACATGCAGTGCTCCCAGGTGAGTTAAGTGGATACCGCTGTTTCGCGACAGCTCACAGCAGTTTCGGGGGGTCTCGATCCCGCCGGCAGCCCAACAGGAAATGCCTCTCCTCGCTCGCTGTCTCAGTCGTGCCTCGTGGGCCGTGCCCCTGGCATTCCCGCTCCGAGCCCACCAGCTAGTGGGGCACGTCTGGCAAAGGCAGCAAGACGGGCAAAGTTGACAAGAACAATCCTACACGGTGCGTGTGTGTATGTGTGTGTTGCGGTCATTCGGCTTACAATCGTTTTCTTTCACGTCGCGGCATTTGTGTGTGTGTGCTTTGTTTTTGTGTGTGTGAGTGTGTGAGTGTGTGTGTGTGAGTGTGTGTGTGTGTGCGCGGGGTGTGTGGTTCGCATCTCGTGCCTTCTTCGGGACTGTTCGTGGAGGTCCAGGTGTTTCGGGACACGGGAGGAGGAGGAGGAGGAGGAGGAGGAGGACGAGGACGAGGACGAGGACGAGGACGAGGAGGAGGAGGTGCTCGCGCGGCCCAGCAATGCCACATGTTCGAGTTTGCGACGTGGGGCTGGATCACTCGCCACTTGTTAGATCGAGCGAGCTGAAGGGAGGCGACCCAAGTGATGACAATTTGGCTGTGTCGCGGAGCTCCGACGAACTGGCAGGCTGGTAGTGTAGCCAGTTCGCCGCATGCAAACGTTGGATCGTATTTGTTGAACAGGCTGGTGACGCTGACGCGAACCCTCCTTTCGAAAGCGATCGAGGCCACCATGGATCATGCCTTGCCGGCGCCCACTTCTTCTCGGGTGGGAGCGACGGCATTGGCGAAGGACCTGACGGCTGGCAAGCTGTTGGTTGGATGACCGTCTCCATTCATGGTGTAGCGTCTGCGCGGAGCTCGGAGGGAACAGATCGCGTTGTCGTCGAGCTTGTCCCCCAGGGGACATTGCCTCCGCCCCGAAGGCGCAGGGGAGACGACCCGAGTGAGGAGCATTCGGTTATTTCCGAAGGACCGGAAGTCGGTCAGTCGAGCCAGGCACCTGTAGGCAATCGCGGGACCGTTTTTGGAGTTAAGCAGGCGAACGACGCTGACGTGAGTCCCTCTTCGGGCGCGGTTGAAGTCCTCCCCTCCGGCCCAGGCAAGCAGAGGGTGGCCAAGGCCGCCCCCAAGCATGGTGCAGCGGATGGGCGGAGTTCGAAGCGAGCTGATCGCGTTGGCGTAGAGCCTGCCCAAGGGGCATTGGCTCCGCCTCTGTCTCTGGTCGATTGAAACATTGCCAGTTGGGGCCTGCAGGCGGAGAGATGGCTGAATGAGCCAGATGTTGACACCGCCGTCTTCGTCGAATTCTGCATGAGGGACCCGAAGTACCAGACCAGCATCAAAGCAGTCACGCGCTTACTTTGGGATGCGGTCGGTGGCGAGGCTGACGTTACTGAGATTGGTGATTCGTCCACGGAAGTCTTGGCGCGGACACAGAAGCATCTCGGACCCGCGGGAGTGAATCTGGAGCCGCGGTCCCAGGAATGGAAATCTCGCGGCTGCTCTCGCTGGTGCACCGCAACCATGCGCTCGACGCATGCGACGCCGACGCTGGCGCCCGACTACCTTGCCCCAGAGCAGCGCGTGGGAGGCAGCGGCCTCGGGGTGCTGAGTGAGGCGCGCGAGAAGCTCCGCCTCGTCGAAGGCCCTCTTCTGTTGATTGGGGACTGGCAGAACGAGTTGCCTACCCTGACAAGCTCGGGTTTCCCCTTGCAGAATGGCCCAGTGGGCGTCCAGGCCCTTCTGTCCGCCACTTGCACCCGTGGCCGTGGAGCGGCCAGCCGCGTTGATTCCGATTTGGCCGCGGTTTCTCTCGCGCTTGTTGCGCGCTTTTTTAGGTGTGCCAGTCAGAGCCTCCGGGGGCCCGCGTCGCCCGGCGTGGCTGCCAGTGGCGAACCTGGGGAATTGTAGAATGGAGTCCGACTCGGATCTGTTTATAGGATAGTGGCACTTAACGGCACTTAGCGACGCGCGCTTGCGGCTCTGATGGGGATGGCGGTCTCGCTCGCGAACCGAGCCATTAGTGGCCGCCAGGCCACAGGCCACCAGTGGTCGCTCGTGGCCATTGAGTGCCGCTATGTGGTCGCCAATGGCCGCAACGGGCCGCTGGCGGCTACAAAATGGCAGCTAAACGGCCGCCAGTGGCCACTAAGTGCCGCTGAATGGCCGCTAGTGGCCGCAGCAGGTCGCTAGCGGCCATTAATGGCTGCTGAGTGGCCGCCAGTGGCCGCCGCGGGCCGCCAGCGGCCGCTCAGTGTCGCTAAATGGTAGTTTTCGGAGGTCGCGATGGTCAGTGCGACGACGATCCCCAGACAGGCGACATGAGTTTTTCGATTGCGCCTCAGCCTCGGTTGATCCACGGTTGGACGGTCGTGTTTTCCAAGGTTTTGGGTGTAGCAGAGACCGAGCAGCCTGCGTGGGCCTTGCGCTGGGGGGATAGAGCAGGCCCTTCTTGCCCGCGAGGAGAGCCCGAGCCGCTGTTGTGCTAACTCTGTCGCAGCGACGGTTGCCTTTGCACTGCGTGGCGCGCCCGAGATTGCGCTGGCCCTAGGCCGGGACTTTGGCGCGCGGGCGCTCGCCTCAGAGCTTGCGCAATGTGTGAAAACAGCGCCCCTGGACGCGAATGGGGGCGTTTCTCAGGGCGTGGCCAGCAGCCGAGAATCAAGTAGGCCCGTTGTTGCGAAGGCGAGCCATGGTCCGCCCTTGGCTGATCGCCTCTTTTGTTTGGGCCAGTCAGTCCTTGGAGGCCTCCAGCAGCTCCTCGCGGGCGCCCAGTCCTGGGGCGCGTCGGCGGCCGAGAGAGCGCGGCGGAGCTGGGGTCTCCCAGGAAAATCTGGGCATCGGAAACCATGGCCGTCTCGGCGTCCGCGGCCCAGCGGCCCCCGAAGGCCCCCGCGGGGGCCGCGGGTCCCAGGGGGGCCTTCAGCGTCGATGGGGTGCCCAGCCACGTCGGCTAGCGAAATATCAGGGGTTGAGTCTGTCGCTTCGGGCGCCGTCTGGGGCAGGCCTTCCAGGGTTGAGGGAAGGCGCTGGCGGCTTGGAGAGTTGCTTCCCGAGCGCAGCCGGCCCCTTCGCCGATCGCCCTCGGGCAGGTAAGGAAGGCCCCCATGGCCATGCCATATCGGGGAGGCAAGGGCGTCAACGGCACGCCGCCGCGCCCGGTCAGGGAGGCGCCCCCCGAGGCGATCACGGTTTGAGCTGGGCTGCTCTCGCCCAAAGAACGCGACGCTGCTATGCCTTTTCAGGTGCTGTTTAATTGAATCGCTCTGATTGGCAAATCAGATGGAGGGCTTCGACACGTCGCGCTGATCCGGGAATCTGAACGCCCGTCGCTGAAGAATGGGACAGGCTCGCCCACGGACCCTGGGGCAAGGCGAGTTGGATGCTCAGCTGAGCACGCCGGCTGGTTTGATGAGTTCGACTCCGAGTTTGCAGTGCCTGATGGATTCTGCAGCGCCTGATGGATTTCGCGTTGCTGGATGCCTGTTCGGCACAAGGGAATTCTGATCCGGAGGGCCCCCCAGACTTCGCGCAAGCCTCGGTGGGCCTCCAGTGCCCTCATCAGGCTCCGCGCCTTGGCCTTGGACGTTTGCCTGAGTTCTAAGATGTTATGTTCGCAGCGGGAAGTTCACTCAGGGCTTCTGCCAGGGCGGGGCGGGGCCATTCGGCGCCCCGGGCCAGGGCGTATTTGCGCGATGCCCTCGCTGCCGCCATCCTGGCTGCCCGTGGGCCGAGGCTCCGTGAATGGGTCGATCATGTGTCGTTTCGTTTGCCTGGGTCGGTGCGCGCCCTCGGAATGGCCTTCCCCGTCGCACATCGAACCCTGCCCATTGTCTCGAGGAGGAAGTGCTTTCTTGTTTTGCCCGAGCGTTGCTTGACGGCCCCACCCGCTCGGAGATGGAGCTGGCGACGATTTCAGGCCCCCCCGCGTTGCTGCGGGGCCATTTCGCGGCGCCGCGACGGGGGCCATTCGGCCGGTCACGACCAGGCGCCTCGGGATGCTTATACGGCGCAAGCCCGCCTCGCGCACGTCAGGTTTGAATGGCCCCCCCGCAAACCGGCGAAGCAGGCGGTAAGCAAGCGCCCCCCTGGGGCGGCCTGGGCCCCCGAGGCGCGCGGAATCTCACCCTCGATGAAGAAGCTATTTAAATCCAAGGTGGGCTTGCCAGTAAGTGCCCGCAGCAGTGAACTTGCGCGACCACAGCTATCGGGATCAGCTTCGGGGCCTGCAAAGGCAGTGCGATCCTAAATGTTCGGAGACTGGTCGGAGCGTGATTTAGTCGATGTGCTCGCTGTCCTTCGCTGGCAGATCGCATCGGGGATGGGTGGCAGGACTCGCTGGCCAGGTCATTGAAGGTCTAGCGTTGCGTCTGGGGCCGCCTCGGAGCTGCCGGGGTGGCGTTGCCCGCCTTTAGACATGTTGGCGGAGCAATAGGGCCATGGAGGCCATGGTCGCATTCTCTTGGACGTTGTCACCCGCCTTAAAAATCGTTTCCTCAGCGCGCTGGAACCCCCCATCAGCTGCTCGGTTTGGCGCGGCGCAGCCTTGCGCGATGATGCCCTGGCGGTCGGCAGCGCAGCGCGGCGGCAGCACCCCCGGCTAGCTAGCAT